ATGAGATAATATTATTGTCTAAAACCATGGTTTGGAAATTTTGAAGATCATTGAAGTTCTGATTTTAGTGACAGGGCTGTTAATTAATATATAGTTGTCATAGATATATGAAGACCACATAATAATATGTACCAAACTGATTAACAATATACCACATATTCTTTAAAACATGCTCAAATAAAACTCTAAGATAAATACCTCTTTCATGAAAGCCTTATAAAATACTTTACAAGATTTTAAATTTAAACATTCTACATCAAAGCACAAGAGAAGGTTTTTTGTGTTTTATTTTGTTTTTAAAGTTTCTTAGCTGGTAAGACAAAGTTTTACCAACAAAAGATATTTTATTTGCTCCTGCTTTCTTCTAATCTGTATAGCTATTCAAAAGTCTTGTAATTCTTTGTGATCACTGTCAGGTAGACAGATTGTCACTTGGTGATTTTCTACAGTTGGACACACTTGACTAGTTATTAAAATCACATTTGAAGGAAGTTCCTACCCCTCTTCCTTGTGCCTCTTACAACTTTTCACGCCCTTCTCAAATTTCAGCTATAACTTCTCCTCCCACCAAAAGTAAGTTAAAGAACACTGTTGCACTCTGCTAAACAGGGTGAAATAGAGGCATTCAGTACACTGTCTCTGGTGTAAGGAACATAGTCAAAAAAGGTCACCATAGGCCAAAAAGAAAATTGCCTCCTTACTAGATTCTGTACTGTGAGTAAGTGGTCTCCTGTCATGTTTCTTCCCTGCCTTCTCTGAGCGAACTGAACTTTAAACACACACACACACACACACACACACCCTCATACATAAGTTATAGATGAAAATAGTGACATACTACATTTTAATGACCAGTTGAAAAATTTACACAGAAGATAACAAAATAGGACTTTAATAAATTGATAGAACACTAGCATCTTCTTTGCAAAATGAATGAATTCCAAAAAAAGATAAACTCTTTAGGCAAAATTTAGAGTCACAGGAATTACAACTCTTACCCCAATTTATAACTTAATCATTATTAGAAATAATATTTTCTTAATATCAGGTTTATTTGAGCAGAACTTTATACTTCAATTTTTGGAAATCATGAATTGGAAAATTATTGTACCTATTTGATTTTAAATGGATTCTGAAATTTGATGTGTCCCATCTAAATAAGTATAAAACAGACACACATAAATCATCAAAGAAGTAGTATTTGTCTAAGTTATTGATTATGTAACTGAAAATTACATGACTCATTTGTCCAATTTTATAAAGACACAATGTCAATTTTTCACCAAGGCACCAAGAGATGAAAAATGATTCTATTTTAAAATCACCGCTATATAAATCAATTAAAGAACTTCTATTATTTAGATTTCAACACTGAATGTTTCTCTTTAAATATCTGAATTATTTAGAAAATATTTTATCATTTAGAGATTTCATACTGCCAATTTAATTGAGGAAATAACAATCAAGAAATATTCAGGAACATTTTCTGCAGAAATGAGAGCTAATTTTAATAAAAGTCTTTGTTGAAAATTCTATTAGCATTCTGTAAAAATCTTACATTTTTCAATTAAAATTTTCCTGATAAATTAATTAATGCAATATTCACAAAGACCATTTATCACCATTTTATAATGAGTAGGAAAAAGCTAAGTAACAAAATAAAGTTAACTATGCATTTATGTGCTCTAATCACAGATATGGAGTAAAACTTCATCTTTTCCTCTTCTGTTACATGCACACACTGTCAAACAAATCCCTTTATATAATAAAGCTACAAAGATTTTTGCCATGTCAATAGTAAGATATGGAAATCAAGGAGTCAAAGCAAATAGTCAAAGCAGAAAATATACCAGTAGTTAAATTTAACTATTTTAGGTAGAATAATATCAATTTATATCTTTAAAAAAAATCAGAATAAATAACGCTTTAAAAATTAAATCTTTCTATTCCTAGTAACTCAATCAGTACACATAGAAACAAGTGAAAAAAGATCCCACTTTGACCTTTAACAAATATACTCATAAAGTTTTACAAAACTACTCTATAAAACTGGCATCAAATACAATATCATAAAATAACTGTACATTGCCATTCAAACAAGAGAATGCTTAGAAACTTCAACATTTTATATTAAAGTATTCCTTTTACATTTAATTTTTTCTTAAGCCTGCTAAATATCTCATAAGATGAAAAGTTGGGTATTTCAAATAAACATGGAGATTTATATTATCTTTAACAAGATAAAACGATCAAACTGATTATCTAACATTGTATAACTAAATAAATAAAACTTCTGGCATCTCTCATAATGATTTACCCAAATCAATTCCAATATACAACATTTCAGGAGACAAAGCATACGTAAAGTTGTTAATTAACTCATGTTTGATTAAAAAAGTAATAAACTGGACAGATACTGATAAAAGTAAGTTTTATCTCTTTAATTGATCCCATTGCATTTTTCTGTTCTTTTTGTAGCTCTAACTGTAGCTTCATTTTCAGACTAGTGTTTATAAGGTATAAATAATAGGATCTTAATCAGAAACCCTCAACATGTTATATAGTTAGATATAGCATTTTATTCAGTACAAGTACTTGCTGTGATTTAAACAAATACACAGGCCTCGAGGCGTTCTTTACTTTGAAGTCTATAGATGCACTTACTAATAAATAATAGTTCATTTATCAGTCAATCAACAAATAATGGCTTAGGTCAGAGAGGTCTAAAACAGACAGGTGATGCCAAACACAAAGAACCAAGGAGGCACTCTTGCTAAAGAAATTACATCAGTTAGAAATGTACTTATCAAGAAGATTCTACAACTAGATATCATTTTTAAATGCCTGACCAAAACCAGAATTTACTTTGACCTCAGGAGAAACCTTGCTAAAACTGATGATTTATCCAAGTTAATTTACCTAAAAATTACCAATTATAAAGAAAATTAAAAACAGGAGCAAATTCTACATTTTTTCAATTCTTTTGTGGTTAGTTAAGTAAAAAATCAGCTGAAAGTACTCAGCTCTGCATATTAACCTTCCAATACTGCAAGCCACATGTGACCAAAGGGGTCAGGGGCCAGAGTAGAATCCTTTGACCTATGGAACTATCCATTTTGGTCTTCAGGCAAGACTCTGTAAGAGATCATTTTACACAGATTTATCAATCATATTTTTCAAGTTCAGCATTCTCTCTGCTTGGGTTAAAAGAAGATGGGTGCTTGTCCTTAAGGGAAATGAAACCTGAAGTGTTTTAACTATAAACTACAT